CATCATCTCTCTGGCCCCTAACCCTTCCCTCAATCCCTCTCTGTACCCCCAACCCGCCCTCCATCTTCTCTGGGCCCCAGTTTCCATCTCTTCTCTGTTCTCTGGTCCCCAGCTCTACTCTGTGCCACCCCCATCCCCATCTCTCTCAGTCCCCCAATACACCCTGCAGTCCTTTCTTTGTAATCCTTGCAACATTGTGCTCCTGTCCTGCAACTGCTTTGTCCTTCATCCCTCAGCACTTCTGTGCCCCTTGCCCCAGCCCCTCTAATGGGCTCTCAATCCCCTCGATGTGCCCCTATCCTAACTTGTGTCTCCTGTGCCATCCCCCATCCCTCCTTTTGCCTCTACCTACTATCCATGCCTTCTCTGTGCCCCACCTCATTCTCTAGTTTTTGTGACCCCCTCAACTCATCCTCCAGCTCCTGTGTCTTTGTCCCCCGATCCTCTTTCTGTGCCACCCCCATGGCCCATACCCTCTCTGTGCCCTCAGACCCACCCCCCAGCTCCCACTATGTGCCCCTGCCCCATCATGGGTTCCTGACCTGTTTCCTAGCCTGCCACCCCTGAGCTCTGTCCTCCAGCTTCTCTGTGTCCCCTAGTCCGTCCCCCCCCCTTCTGTCTCCACTCCCCTCTTCCCACTCTATGGATCCTCCCACTCAACTCTGTATCCCAACTCCTTCCTGTTTGCCTGTCCTCCATCCCTTCTGCCCTCCCATGGTTCTATCTGTACCTTTCTGTACCCTAACCCCTCCCAGCCTTCCAGCCCCACTTTACTGCATCCTGTCCCAATCCTTTCTCTCTACCCACCAAAGCCCCATTTTGTACAACCCCCTTTCAGAAGCCCAAACCATCTCCTTCCCCATCTTTACCTTTTTCCAGCTCTTCCAGCTCCCCCAATTTCTAGCTCTCCCTTATGACTGCCATTCCCCCTTCCCAGTATTTCCTTCTCCATCCTTCCACCAACACCAGTCTCTTGTCCTAAACCCTTATCCATTTCCTCATGTCTGACTCTACATCTTACCTTCCTCCCATTCTCTCCTTGTTCACCGTCCCCTTTTTAGCCCATCTCTAGCCCCAACTCACTTCTATTTTTGACCTAGCTACACCCGTTTCCTTTATTTACTGCCCTTCGATCACCACCCGTTTCCTACGTACCTCCCAGATCACCCGTGTCACTCTTGATGTTTCTGCCCACCACCCATCTCTTCTGTCATTTTTGTGACCCCCCCCACTCCCCCTCTGTATCTTTGTCCCCCCCCCATCCCTTAGACCCTCTCTATTCCACTCCCCATTGTCCAGCCCTGTGCCCCACCTGGCCCTTTACCACTCCTGCATCACATCCTCCTTTGGTCCCTCCGTGGACCCCATCTGTCTCTCGATTATTCTCTTCCTATTCCCTGCCTCCCCACCCCCCACTCTGGCCCATTTGCTGTCTCTGGATCCTGTTCCACCTCCTTCTTGCCACTCATCACCCTATCTGTCCAAGGGCTCTGTGCTCAGGCCTTCTCGACCTCTCTCCTTCAGGGGGATGACGTGGCTGTGGTCACTGCTGCTGCTGGGGCTAGGCCTGGGCAAAGGGGCATGGGGCAAGCCCCCCCCAGATGCTGGGGTCCCTATCTCAAGCCGGGTGCACCAGCAGGCTCCACTGAGTGAGGCCAAGCACGACGATGCCCATGGAGACTTCCAGTTTGACCATGAGGCCTTCCTGGGCCGGGAGGCAGCTCGGGAGTTTGACCAGCTCAGCCCAGAGGAGAGCAAAGCCCGGCTGGGGTATGAGGCGCGCGCGCGAGTGTGTGTGTGTGTGTGTGTGTGTGTGTGTGAGAGAGCGCGCGCGCGTCTGACCTAGTGCAGGCCCGTGTTGTTCTTCCTATTCCAAATTCCCGGATGGGATGGATGTTGTGAGGGTGGGGAAGTTAGCATCTTCTGCCGTATAAGGAATAGTAGAAGAAACATGGGCTGTTTACCTTAGAGGAGGCTGGGGAACGGGGGGTGCGGGGGTGGGGAGGGTGGCTGTGAGATCTGTTCTCCAGAATTTGGAAGGGTTGTCATGGGGAAAGGAGTGGCCTCAGAGGGGAGCAGTGGGTGGGGTGGGGTTAGGGAGGGAGGGCCTGGAGGGAAAGGGAGTTACGGGGAGGCAGATTTAGGTTCCGTGTCTGGAAAACTTAGCGATGAGGGCTGTTTAAAAATAGAGGCTACCTAGGCAGAGTAGGGGTGCCGCCCCCTCCCTCTCCTCTTCTCTGCCCCTTTCAAGCACGCGCTGGATGACCATTTGGCCTGGGGGGTGGGGCTTAGTGAGGTGGCCACCAAGGTCAGTCGTTCAATCAACAAGCAGTCCGGTCCAGCCACCGTGAATACCCAGCCAAAGAGGAGAGTCTCTGTCTCCTCTGAAGGTGCTGGGGCCCCTCTTACTGTACCCCCATCGCACCCCGATGCAGGCGGATCGTGGACCGAATGGATCGCGATGGGGATGCTGATGGCTGGGTATCGCTAGATGAACTCCGGGCCTGGATTTCTCACACTCAGCAGCGGCACATCCGAGACTCGGTTACAGCTGCGTGGGACACCTACGATACTGACGGTGACGGCCGCGTGGGCTGGGGAGAATTGCGCAACATCACCTATGGTCACTACCAGCCTGGTAAGGCGAGGAGCCCGAGCCCTGCATCCCGCTGGCAGTCTCTGACCCTATACCAGCCAGTGGCTCCACTGAGTGACCCAGGCTTCTCCTGCTCTTGGCCTAATCTCGCTCGACCTGCTGTCCTCTCCTCCAAGCTGGGGGGATGGGCTTATTCCCCACGCTCCTACCTCCATCCTGGTTCTGTGCTCTCTGCTCCAGGCCTCCTTCCTCCTAACTCTCCTCTTCAGGAAGGTGCCTTCAGCAGGCAGGGTCGGGAAGAGATCACCCCTGAATGTTGTGTGACCAGGGTCAGTCACTGCCTCCCTTCTGGCTTGCTTGGAGTGCGCTGTCTGTGATTTCGTTTGAGATTCGTGGAATGGGAATGGGGCTCGATGAGGGTATCCCCTGAGGAGCGCCCCCTCCCCCAGTCTCTTGATGAGATTACAAGGTGTACTTCATGCAACAGACGCCTCTCCTGAGCCAGACAGACACGGCTGGCCAGGGTGCACGCAGGCTTTGAACCCTTTCCTGACCGACTACATCTGGCCACTATTTTATCCACTCCCTTTGGCCACGCGGAGGGGAGCCCTCAGGTTACCCCACGAAGTAGGGCAGAGGTGATCAGATTCCTGACCTAGCAGCTGCAGACATGGTACTGACCCAGACCATCTCCCACTTGCCCAAACTAGCTTCTGTCTTAAGAGCCTCCTCCTCCCGGGCTGCAGGGCCAGGCATCGTGACCATTGCTTCCTGCCGTCCTTTGTCTCCTGCCTGGGTTCTCTTCCATTCCGTCCTTCTCAAAGCCTCCTGGGACGGGTCTCTCCCTCGAGGCACCGTCCATGACCCAGCCTTTGGAGACTGCCAGTCGAGGCTTCCTCCCTGGCCTGGCAGCTGCCTTCCCTTGTTGGCATTTCCAGGGAGGGGAGCCTGGGAGCCCTGCCTCAGTTCCCTCCCCTGTCTTCCCTCACACCAGGAGAAGAGTTCTCGGACGTGGAGGACGCAGAGACGTATAAGAAGCTGCTGGCTCGAGATGAGAGGCGGTTCCGGGCAGCCGACCAAGATGGGGATCTGCAGGCCACCAGGGAGGAGTTCACAGCCTTCCTGCACCCGGAGGAGTTCCCCCACATGCGAGATATCGTGATCGCTGTGAGGATGCAGGCGCTGCGCCGTGTCTCCCACCCCACCTTACCTCCTTCTCCCTCTTGGTCCCCGATGCTGCCTGGGAGGGCCCCGGGGCCAATCAGGTCACTTCCTCACCTTTAAGAGGGCTGCACCCTGCTAGCTGGCCTCTCAAGGGCTTTCCAGCCCCAGGTCTGTGACCTATGACCCACAGCCCCCTCAGCCTGTCTTCTCTTCCCCCAGGAGACCCTGGAGGATTTGGACAAGAATGGAGATGGTTATGTCCAAGTGGAGGAGTACATAGGTGAAGGGGCTGCCACCATGGGGAGTGAGTGGCGGGAGGGGGTGCGCTGCTCCGTCCTGGCGGGAGGCTGACACCCTTTGTCTGTCTCCCGACACGCCCAGCGGACCTGTACTCCCCCGAGCCAGAGGGAGGTGAGGAACCTGCCTGGGTGCAGACAGAGCGGCAGCAGTTCCGAGACTTCCGGGACCTGAACGGGGACGGGCACCTGGATGGCCAGGAGGTGGGGCACTGGGTGCTGCCCCCGGCCCAGGACCAGCCGCTGGTGGAGGCCAATCACTTGCTGCAGGAAAGTGACACTGATAAGGTAGGGAGCCCCTGGGGAGGCCGGTGGGGGGTACCGCCAGGGCCCGGCAGCATCAGGGCCTAATGCCCGAGCGAACCTCCCCACAGGATGGACGCCTGAGCAAACAGGAGATCCTGGGGAACTGGAACATGTTTGTGGGCAGCCAGGCCACCAACTACGGTGAGGACCTGACACGGCATCATGATGAGCTCTGAGCACCCTGCTCTGGTGGGGCCAGCACTTGCCAAACACCCCTGCCCCCACCTCCCAGCGAGACGGCAGAAATACCCGTTATAAATATAGTCAGGAGAACCTCATTTATGAAACAGGGACTGAAGATAGAGAGGACAAACAAACCCCATGGACTATGGCCCAGGGCCCTTCCGGCCACAACCTGCTCGGACCTGCCGTGGTTCCTGGTAGAGAACTTGGGGCCCCATCTTCATATGGCCCTAGGGCCTAGGAGTCTAACTGAAGGCTCTGAGCATCTTCTGTGGATCCCCTGGATACATTTCCTCTCTGGACCCTTTCTGGGTACACGTCGGGGCCCAGCTTCAGCAAGCATTTCCCAGTCATAAGCCAGAGCCCCTGAAGGCCTGGCCTGCAGCATCAGGATCAGCACTGGGGCCCCCAAACGCAAGACAGCAGAAAATTTGAGCCCCAAGCCGGCAGGAAGGACTGATTTTCCTCATCACCTCCCTCTGGGCCTCAAAGCCCCCAGAGGAGGGGTGTTCTGACCCCAGAGGAGGGGTGGGAGGGAGAGGCTGCAATAAAAGTCGAGGCCTCAAGTTCCTGGAGTCTGACCTATTCTGGGGGGGTCCCGGAGGTGGGCAGGCAGCGGGATGCCTGGGTGCCCAACCCCTCACACTGGCGCCAGGGAACCGGAAGCCAACACATTTATTATCCACTGGTTCCATCCAGAACGAGCCCCCTCATCCCCCCCCCCCCACCGGGCCCCTTCAGGCCTGCATTACAGGGCGAGACTTCTTGGCCTCCAGTTGTACCCCAGAACCTGCAAAGCCAGTGCCGCCCTAGGGAAGAGGACAAGCATGGGGTGATGAGTCATCAGGAGGACAGAGGGGCAGTGGGGAGATGGGGGGGAGGGGCCAGGGTGGGCAGCTTACCCTCTGTAGCAGAATGATGTCCTTGTCTGTGAGTGGATCCCCACTGATGGGATCCACCATGTCTTTGCGGATCAAACGCTCCACGCACTCCACAGTCACCACAGCGCCCCTGGGAAAGAAGGAAGGGCAGGCTGGCGGGGCTCGCTCGCCGGGCCTCTGCCCTCCCTGGCCCGGCGAGTGAGCCCCCCGACTCACGAAGGCCGCAGCACGGCGCAGGGCGTGGAGTTGCTCAGGCTGTCCCGAGTCACCGCGCAGACGTAGCGTTCGCTCCGAGTGATCAGACCCACTCTGTCCACGGAGCCATCCACGGGCGTGAAGCGCACGGAGATGAGGTCTGACAGGCGCAAGGGCTTTCCTGACATCGGGCACGTCACGATGCGCGACTGCTTCAGACACATGCACACACAGAGACAGAATGGGCTCAGAGGAGGGGGTCACGGGGCTCCCTAGGCACTGGGGTCAGCGGGGGGCAGGGTCCTCTCACCGGCTTCTCCAGCTTGGTGGCCTTGGCTTCAGGGGTCAGCGACGGGATCCAAAAACTGGGGAGCTCCTTTGCCTTCTCCTTTTCCCCGGCCTCAGAGGCTGAGTCGGCGCCTGGCTGGGGATCCCCTGGGGTGAGAAAAAAACCGAGCTTAGCGGGGTTCAGAGGAACTCTGCTCTGCTGGGCGGGAAGCACGTGGCTGGCCCTGTACCCTGTCCTCACCCGGGCTGGTGCCTGCTCGAGGGGTGAAAGGATTGAGGGGCCGGCTGACAATAGCCGCCTCCTTCTCCAGGAAGCCCCGAAGCTGGTCCTGGGCAGCGGCCCGGCTCAGCTCCCGCCGCTCCTCCTGCTGGGCGCCTCGCTGCTTTTCGTACGCCTGGTGGGGGGGCAGGGAGGAAGAACATCAGTCCTGTTGCTCTTGGGGGCTCCTCCCCTCTGGGCCCCTCAGGTTTCCCCTTCCTTCCCGCCTTCAGGGGCCCCTTTACCTTCCTTTGCCGGGCAATCTCGCGCTTCTGGTGGAGGATATACTCCAGGATTGCTTCGCGCTCATATAGGAAGCCGTCAGGACTGCAAGGCACATGGGTGGGCAGTGTCACCAGAGAAATAGGAGACATCCCTGGAGACCCAGCAGCCACGTACAGAGGCACCAATAAAGACCGGGGTCCATTCAGAGATGCTCAAGCGATTTTGGGGGTGTGTGTGTGCGTGCGTATGTGCACCCCTCATTCAATCAACACTGATTAAACTTGACAGATGTCACGTGCAGGGAACACCCCCCCGATACAACATAGGCAGGGCCGCAGTGAGCTCGCAATCTAACAGAGAGACGAGGGCCCAGGCCCCACAGCCTGGGGAGCACGGACAGCGACAGCTTCGGCATGCCTGGGGTGCTGGGGCCCCTCCCCACTCCCCATCCACCTGGACCCAAGCACCCATCTCCCAACTAAGCACACTGGCTCCCTCCTCACAAGGCTGAACTCAAGGGCCACCTCCTCCAGGAGGTCTTCCTGATTTCTTCAGCTGTATGCCATCCCTGCCCCTGCTACAAACCACTGTGCCCATCTCTGCTGACCCATGACCATGCTGCACGCCCCAGTAGAATGTAAGCACCCAGAGGGCAGAGCCAGGCGAAGGAGGAAGTACATTCTAGGCATGGAGGACGGCCTGGGCAAAGGAGGAGCGGAGAAAGCAAACGGAGCTGAATGTGCTTGTCTCAACTCTCTGCTGTGTGGGGTGCTGGGCCTGCTGGCAGGAGGCGAGGGAGACGAGAACCGAGGACCCCCCCCCCAGCTCACGTGACCACGGGGTCGTGGCAGGGCTGCAGGGAGAGACAGCAGCAGTCAAAGTCCTTGACGGCATCCCGACTCAGCCGAACGTTCTGCGTTCCATAGCCCGAGGCCGCTGGAAGGGGAGAGGGAGGGATGCAGCCCAGACCCGCGGCCCCTCCCCCAGCGGCTCCCCCGAAGGCCCCCGCCTCCGCTGCCATTACCGGTGTCTTTTTTCTTCTCGTGATATGTGTACACGGCGCCTGCAGTGCAGTTCTTCCCGTGACGCGTCATCCTGGGAGGAAGGACGAGAGGCTGAGAGTCTGGAGGCTGCAGGGGGGGCCAGAGCAGAGGGGAGCCACGCCAGAGCTTCCGCGCTGGGAGGGATCTCCAAGACCATCCTTCCCTTCCTAAGAATTCCCCCTACGAAGTCAGGCTCTGGGGAGGAGGCAGGGCTCCCTGCAGGGGCAGGGAGGCCCACTCCAGCTCAGCTCTGACCACTAGGCCGTGTGGCTTCAATCACAGATCTGCTTCTCCTCCTCCTAAGTCTGCTTGGGGGACATCTTTTAGGGGGGCTAGGCAATGGGTTAAGTGACTTCCCATGGTCCCTCAGCTAGTGTTATGTGTCTCAGGTCACATTTGAACTCAGATCCTCCTGACTCCAGGGCCAGTTCGCTATCCACTGTACCACCTAGCTGGCCCCGGGGAGACCTTTTTTTGACGTGATGCCTTCTAGTATCTGAAGGGGTGATATGTCAGACTCCCCTTTTTTCTTCTCCAACATTCAATTCAGAAGTATTAAGTGCCTACTATGTGCTGTGGATACAAAAGGCACTGGGGATTGAAAGAAGCCAAAGAGGCAGCTAGGTGGTGCAGTGGATAGAGCACCGGCCTTGAAGTCAGGAGGACCTCAGTTCAAATCCGGCCTCAGACCAAACACTTGACACTCACTAGCTGTGTGACCCTGGACAAGTCACTTAACCCCAATTGCCTTTAAAAAAAAAAAGAAAAGAAAAGAAAAAAAAAAAGCAAACCGTCTCTGCTGCAGGCAAAGCCAATAACGAGTAGGCAGGCAGCACCAAAGACCCGGGTCCTGCTGAGCTGCTCGAGGCCCCAGGCACCCATCCCATCCCGCCAGCAGATTCCCCCTTTCTGCATGCCGCCCCTGGCTCCCGGACTGTCTCCCTTTCTCCAGCCTGGTTTCTTCTGACCCCTGCCCTCATGGTCACCACTAAGCTCTTTGGCCCCGAGCTCCAAGGCTCCTCCCAGGTCCTCCTGCTGCATCCTTCTCTCGTGGCTGCCAGGACACCAAGGGCTCCTGCTTCTCTTCCCACCACCAAGCTTTGGCTCTTCCTCACCACCTTTTCTCTATCTACCCTGGTAGACTCACCCAGGGTCACACAGCTAGTAAGGATCAAGTGTCTGAGGCTGGATTTGAACTCAGGTCCTCCTTACTCCAGCACCGGTGCTCTACTCACTGCACCACCTAGCTGCCCCTTTTTCTCTATTTACCCTCGCACTAGTCGACCACCTCTTCTGTGCAGATAATCAATGCACTGATACAATACGCACTTAATAAATGTCTCTCGCCTGAGAGCCCCAAGGCCTTCGTCTCTGCTCAACATGAAGGTAGGCCTTGGTCAACGTGATCCACGCTCACCTCGTCTTTCCCCCACACTGGCTCTCCCATGTCCCCAATCCCCTGGACTACAGCTCGTCACTCCCTCACCTCCCCATCCCAGGCACCCGCAGTCAGACCTTCTGCGTCCCACTCTCTGCCCGCGGCCACCTTCTTTCATGCCTAGCTCTGCCCATATTCCATCTCTGCGAAGGAACCCTTTGGGATTTCCCAAGAGACAACTCTCAGCCCAGGCTCCCTTGGTGGCATGCCCCGGTCCCCAAATATGCATCCCTGGGGTTGGCCCTGAGTTTTCTGGTGTGTTCTCCATGCCCACTCCTGGGCCAAAACACCTTCCCTTTCCCTTTCATTCGAGGCTCTGCTCAGGGATGGCCTCCAGTCTAGGTGTGACTCTGCCTCAGTCCAGCAGGCCAAGGCCAAGGAAACAGAGGCAGCAGTTTAGCCAGAAGAAGACTTGGGGGCAGGGGCTGGGGCTGTATCGCAGCCCACACGAGGCATCCCATCCCCAAGCCTTTGCACTGCCGGGCCCTCGTGCTGGGAATGCTCTTTCTGCCCCTTCAGGCATCCTTGGCCAGCAGCAAGGCCCAGTTCAAGTGCTGTCTTCCATGTGAAGCCTTTTCCGATCCCCTAGTCACCTTGTACTTAGTGCAGACACTCACACTATTTCCCCCAACAGACTGTAAGCTCCGTGAGGGCAGGGTCAGTTTGATTTTGGGGCTCCCTCAGCCTCCATTTCCCAAGGCACCCTGGGCTGTGTGTGAGGCGAATGCTGAACTGGGAATCTCAGGCCCTTGGGATCAAATCTGGCCTTTGCCAGTTACTAGCCATGTGACTTTGGCCGAGTCACTTCCCCTGTGTGCCTCAGTTTCCTTATCTGGGAAAGGAAGAGACCTCCAAGGTCTCTGTCACGCGACTGTCGTGCTCTAGAGAGGGGAGGCTTTCTCGATGGAGAGCTAAGAGGCACGTTTAGATGGCCCAAGTGCCCCTGCAGTGAGAGCCTGGCCCAAGTGGAGTGGGCAGCCTTGGGAGGGAGCCGGCTTCCCATTCTGGCCCAGATGACTGACCCCCGGCTGGCAATGGCCCTGGGAAGGGATCCCTGGCCGGACGCCCTCTCAGGGTGCTCCTGGGCTTCCTCTCCTCTCTAAAGCCTGGTCTCCTCCAATCGTGGCGTCTTAGCTGAGCTCCTCCTTCCCTGGCCCCCATGCAGGGCCTCTACCTCCCTCCCCACTAAACTCTCCCTGTGTCTTTGTCCCACCTCTTCCCTCTTCCCCTGCTGGCATCTCTCCAATGCCTTCACAGGCTTGAGAGTGGCCAGAAGAAGGCTGCCAAGACGGAGACGGAGAGCTGCCCGGGGCCAAACTGGTCTCCCTGGCTCGGCTTCAGCCACCAAGGCACACAGGCCTGTGAGGATTGGCTGAAGGCACTGGGGGTGGATGAGAGCTGCCTTCAAGGATGCCAAGGGCTACCATGTAGACAAGCCCATGAGAGCTGGCTTCCTTGGCTGCCGAGGGCAGCACCAGCAAGACTGGGGGGGGGAAGCTGTTGGATGCCAATTTTGGACCCATGGCAAGAAACACTTCCTAACAGTTGGAGCTGGCCAGGAGTGGGCTGGGATTCCTTGGGAGGTGGCAGGCTCCCCATCCTTGCAGATCCTCAAGCAGAGGGGGCAGGGATTCTATTTAAGCTCTACACTGGACCAGATGGCCATCGAAACCCTTTCCAAATCAGAACCTCAGAGGTTCTGGGAAAGCTCGACTCAAACATCACCTCCCCCAACAGGCCTCCTCAGCCTCTCAGACCTTGCAGTGAACTTGGTTTTCCCATGACCTGACAGCCCTAAGGCATGGTGGTGTGTGCCACACTTCAAAACGGGAGGTCTGAGGGAAGGGATCCTGCCTCATATAAACATTCTGTCTCCTGTCACTGAGCGCAGAGCAAGGATTTAACAAGTGTTTACAAAAGAAGGAACGAAGCCTGGGATTGAAGAGTACTATGCAGTCACATTATTTACTCTTACTGATTTTCAGTCCCCTAAGATCTCATCTTCCTGACTTCAAATCTGGACTCAGACACTAGCGGCGTGACACCGGGCAAATCATTTAAGCCTGTTGGCCTCCGTCTTCCTCATCTGTTAAATGAGCTGGAGAAGGAAATGGCAAACACTCCAGTATCTTTGCCAAGAAAACCCCAAATGGGGTCGTGGAGAGTCGGATATGACTGAACAACAACAAAAAGGGATGGCTCAGCAGGCTTTGCCTGAAGACCTCGAATGACAGGCAGCTCACTACTTCCCAAGGCAGACCATTCCACACTAGGATAGCTCGAACCATCCCTTTCTTTTTTGTTTGCTTTTTTTTTTTTAATGGCAATTGGGGTTAAGTGACTTGCCCAAGGTCACACAGCTAGTACGTGTCAAGTGTTTGATCTGAGGCCGGATTTGAACTTAGGTCTTCCTGACTTCAGGGCCGGTGCTCTATCCACTGTGCCACCTAGCTGCCCCTACTTATTTTTTTTTTTAATTGGGTTTCCCAACTCATCCAGACTGAAAATGTGGGAACCACTCATGGACTTGACCCTGTTACCGATAGGCACGGGAACTTTTTGACTCCACAGGGGCTGACACGCCCTTCAGCACAGCCTCAGGTTCCTGGGAGCAGGGATTACAGGGGAGTTCCTCACGTGCCAAGCCCAGGCAGAGATTACCAAGAAGCTTCTCCTGACCCCAGCCTCAGCTTGCCCCTCTGCCATCTCTACCCACTGCTCCTGCTCTTTCCTCTGGGGTCTCCCTCTCTCAGGGACAGTCAAGCTTATGCCCAGTCCTCAAGTCTTCCCTAAGGCCACTCTCCTCCAGGCCAACCGGCCGCCGGTCCAACTGCCCCCGACCCTCCCAGCATGCCAACCCTCCCCTCCCCCGGTCCCCCAGCCCCTCCTCCAGCAACCCCCACTCGCCTCCGCCAGCCCCTCCCCCAGCTGCCTCCCACCCCCCCCCCCCCCGCGTGGCCTTCCCCCCCCCCCGCCCCCCCCCCCCCGTCACTGCCGGGCTGATGGCCCAAGGAAGCCGAAGCCACAGCGGGGTCTGGGCCGGACGGAGGACAGATCTGGGGGCCACTCCCAGCCCCCGCCCCCGCCGGAGATCTCCAAGCACCGAGGAGGCCTTGGGCGGTCGGCTCACCTCGGCCCGGGATCTCCAAGCGCTAACAGAAGCGCTCTCACCACAGCACAGCCACAATCCCCGCGTCAACAACGAACCGGAAGTGAGGCGCCACTAAGCCCCGCCCCTCCGGCTGGGCCGCCCACTTCCGCCGCTCCCGGAAGCGCACCGTCCCCAAGCGTCCGCCACGTGTCCCACTCGCCTCCGTTCCCCCCAGCCTGGGGCCGGCTCCTCCGACGTTCCGGGAGGTGGGAGCCGAGGGCGGGGCCGGAGGCCTCGGCCCCACCCCCGGGACCTGGGCAGCTTCTGGGCCCCGGCTGGCACTGGGCTCCAGGGCTGGGTGACCCAGAGCAATTCCCAGACCCCCTAGGAAAGTCTCAGTTTCCTCCTCCGGCTATGGTGGTGGTGTTTGCGTGTGAGTGTTTTTTTTTGGGGGGGGGCGGTCGGGAGCCATTCGTGCTGGCCGACTCCCCTTGCCCAGGCAAGGAGAAGCGTCCCCCCACCCAGGCCCAGCATCCTTAGGTCATGGTCAGGGTCAAAGCTATCCTTCTACCTGGCTCCTTTAAACACCTGGGCCTTACCTGGGCCCCTCCCCTCCCAGGTGAGCTCTGGGGCCCCGCCCCTTCCCAGCTGGGCTGGCCACCTAAGGCCACTGGGAGCTGGGTCCTGCTCCCTCGCCTCCTGGCCACACAGCCCCAAAGCCCGGGCCCCGTGTGGTCTCTCCTCTGGGCAGGTGAGTGAGTGAGTCATTGGCCAGGAAAGCCCTTCCCTGGGTGCCCTTTGTGGAGGCCGCCCCTCCTTGGCCCAGGAGTCTAGGCCCCTCCCCCCATCCCTAATGGGCTCAGGTATTTAGGCATCTGCCCTTCCTCCCCTACTCCCCTCAAGGATTCAGACCTGAAACCTCTGTCTTTGCCTTCTGGAGGACACAGTTGTCCAGGCCTTCACTTAACTCCTAACCCCCTTAGAAACTCAGGTGCCTCCTCACGGTCCCTAGGTCAGGCAGGTGTCTGAACTCTTGTTACCTAAGCTTGTCCCTCTCCTCAGGCCTTCCCTGCCTAAGCTTCTCCTCTAATATTTGCCCTGAAATACCGGATGTGATAAGTGACCCTTGAGCAGCCAGCAAGGTCTGGGGAATTCCGAGTTGGGGGTGGAGAGGGTGAGTTGGAAAGGGGGTGGACCCAGTCTGCCGGCCTGCCTGCCAGCAACCTCAGCCCTGGCCCTGAGGCCCCCTAGTGGCGAGAGTGGGTTTTCTTCTGATGGTACTCAGGTGTACAAGTTGGGGAGTGAAGAGAATATCCCTAGAATGATTTGTTCTGCCTTTGTGGGGGGGGCGGCTCCCTAGGTCGGTTGTCTCTACCCCGCTATGAGGGGCTTCCCCTTCCTGCTACTGCTATACCTTGGGCTGACTTCCTCTCGAGCCTCCCAGCCTGGCCTGAGGAAAGATCATGGTGAGTGTCTACAAAAGGAACAGGGGAAGGGTGGATAGGGTCAGACACACCTGTCTCCCCGCCTCTGGGGATCCGGGTATCTGGTCCCTGACCCTAAGGCACAGTGGATCCCCTGAGTAATTCTCAGGTATTTGTGCCACTGCCCTCATTATGGGCAGGCAAGTATATGATTTTTCCCCCATTTTCTCTGGGGATATGAAGACATCTGTGCCTCTAAACCCATCCCTGCCCTCCCCCCACCCAGATCTAAATAGATGGTCCTCTGCCTTTACCTGTATTTAGCCTACCGGCATTTCCCCCCTCCCCCAAACTCAGAGACCTGGGTCAGCTATTCACCAGGGCCTTTGCCTCACTTCAGGTTCTGCTGCTGGCCCAGACCCCACAGCTGTGTTCTTAGGAGCCCCTACAGCCCAGAGTTTCCTGGGGAGTGGGCCTGGGCCCCGGCGCTTCCCCCGGGCTAATCATTGGGATTTGGAGCTTCTTACCCCTGGGAACTTGGAACGGGAATGCTGGGAGGAGCAGTGTTCCTGGGAAGAGGCTCAGGAGGTGTTTGAAGACAGGACTTTGACGGTATGTGAGGAGAATTCGGGCCAGGCAGACTGGGACTGAAACCTGGGCCCTGAGATGCCCAGCAGTGCTGGGCCCAGAGGGCCAGTGGTAGAATTGGTTCAAGATCTTAACCTAGAGTGCCAGTCACGGTGGGCTAGGTTTAGGGGCTTGAGTGGTCTAGGGAACCGACCTGAGAGGCCAGGGAACTTGGGGTGCTTAGTTAGGGATGAAGGATAGGGCTGGGACTAAGGTGAAGAGTGGTGGGGGGGAGAGTGATAGGGCAGGGTAACTGACTGATTCCTAGAGTTTGGAGGTTAGAACTAGGGTCAGTATTGGGCAGAGGAATGTGCTCTGTGAAGCAGAGGGCAGTTGGAGGGCTGAGCTTGTAATTATGACCTGTAAAGACGAGGTCAGGAATGGGGAAAGTAAGGTTTGGGACTATGGTGAGGGTAGGGAGGGATTATTGGGACCAGGGTCAGTATGGGGGCAGGGGTACCAGAAAGTGGGTTGGTACTGGACTGTGCAAAGAACCTGGCTTCAGAGAGATTACTGAAGAAATCAGAAAGTCTCCTGGGGGTTGGGGGGGGTCCCTGTGGGTGGGCTCCCCCAACTCTTGTCTGCAAGGTCTGTAGGAAGGGTGGGCCCTGATCCCAGGGGGCTAGGCCTAATCTGACCCAAAGCTCTGGGTGAGCAGGACCTGGGAGGGGGGTGGGTACCTGTGTGTGGGGGTGGAGCCCAGGAAGGGGCAGTACCAAGGGGGCAGGCCCTGCCAGGACAGTGGATAGGGCTTAAATTGCCTCTGCTTCTGCCCTAGGATCTCTTCTGGGAGAACTACCCCTACAATGGGAAGGGTGGCACTGGTGAGTACTAGGTTAAACACTGGGGACCCCACCCCATTATTGTGAACCACATTCCAGGAGGAGGTCCTGGGAGCCCAGAGCTCATTCCTTCCTTAACCAATTCAACTTGATACAATGGGATCCAATCCAGATCTGAGCCCTGCCCTCACCTTGTCTCCAAGTCTTAATTGGCTCAGCTGGACCTGGGGATCCTGAAGCCCTTTGTAACCTGGGCCCAGCCTGCCTTTCCATCCTTCTGGGGCACTTTCCAGCTTTCCAAGCACTTTGCAAGCAGGCCTAACCGGCCTTGTGCCTTTTGCAATTCCTGACTGGCAGCATCATACTTCCTTTCCTCTCCCATCTTTCTCCTCACTTTCACTTTGTAGGAGGCCTAGTTTCCTTGTAGGGTTAGCTGACAAGCCTCTCCTCATTCTCCCAGCTGTTTGCTGGTGTCTCCTTTTGAAATACCCAGCCCCTGGGATTTGCTTTGGTCTTCTTTTGTATCTACTTACATTTAAGCTGACACTATGTATCCATCTCAATTTACTTTGTATATCATTGGGAGACTACTTCTAGAGACTTTATATCTACTTTGTTTCCACTTCTACGCAGACACATTTCTCCAGGGCAAACACCATTGTTGGCTTTTTATCTTTGTATCATCTGGCTCAGAATACCTAGCCCAATCTCACCCTAGTTGAAATGCTTATTGATGGAAAAATAACAATTATGGGCAGAGTGGGAGAGAAAAGAGTCTATACAAAATATACGTAAAGAAAATTCAGGGGAATTTCTGGGAGAGGAAGAATGGAGAGGGGTCGGAATCGGGAAAGACCTCTAGCAGCTGAAGCTGGAGTGGAGCTAGGGAGGGAGAACTTTCCAGATACAGGTGAGAGCCAATGCCAAAGAAACAGAGATGGACATTCCCCAGCAATGGTAGTATGGGGCCTCACGAGGCTGCTAAAACCTGCAGCCCCAAAGCCCTAACAGAATAAATCTTTTTCCCCCCAACACTAAAGGGACACTAGCCACAGGGCCTATTTAGGTGGGAAGCCATCTTTTTTCAAATTAAAAAAAAAACAAACCAGAAATCATTCTTAAGGTCTTCATTCCCCAACAGAGGGCCTGGTGAGGCTGGAGGTCTATGGGGACTTGCTGCGCCCCTCCCCAGCCCAGTAGCCTTGTCTTAAGGAAGTGTGTGCCTTAGCAATGGGGCTGAGGGTTCAGACCTAGGGGAGAGTGAGATCTCAGTGGCTCGAAGACCTGACCCTGACTTCACTCCTTTCCTCTCCAACAGGGAATGGCCGGGTGGATGTAGCAGCATTGGCTGTGGGGCTGGGGGCTGGCCTACTGGTCTTGCTTCTGGCAGCCCTGGGCACATTCTGGTATCTGCATAAGCGGAGGCAGTTGCATCAAAGTCCTGGGCCCTCTCCCCAAAGGTGAGGGCCTGGGGAGACCAGGAAGCTGGGGCTATCCAGGGGTTCTCTTTCCACTTCTTACGATGGGGCTGGCAGCAAAGGCAAACCTTGTGGTGGACGGTGGGGCTCAGGGGACATGTCCAGTGGGCTCCAGTTCATGGAAGAGGCCTGGGTCCCTGTGGATCCTGGGTGGGCCAGTCTTGATGGTAAGTTTTTTTCTCCTTCAGTCTCCATCTGGTCAGGTCTCACTCTACCTGCCCCCCTCCCCCATCTGGGTCTCAGCTGCTTGGTCTTGCCCTACTAGTTATACTCTTCACGGTATTATCCTCCTCTCTTTGGGATCTTTATCTCTTATCGATGCTTTCCACCTTTTTTTTTTTTTTAACCGTTACATCCCGTTATTCTCCCCATCTCCTCTCTCCCCTCCCCTCCTTTTTTGGGTCTCCCCCTTCAGGGGCTGACTCTGTCTCTCCCAACCTACAGAGCCTTCCTGGTGACAGAGGATGTGCCCTTGACCCCCTTGCCGCCTCCCCCCGGCCTCCCCACTTACGAGCAGGCACTGGCAGCCTCGGGGGTGCATGACGCTCCCCCCCCACCCTACCAGAGGTACCTGCACGGAGGGGCGGAGTCTGAATGGAATCCCTCCCGGGGGCGGGGCCCGCGGGACGACAATCAGGGATCGGGATTGGAGGAGAAACCTTGGGAGCTGAAAGCCCCTCCCCGGCGCGCCTCTGACTCCCTTTTCTCCATCCCCTCCCCGTAGTATTCGGCGGTCCCACTGAGAAGAAGACCTCCCCCTCCCGCCCCCGAGGCCAGCCCGCGTCTTCTCTGCCCCGTGACCCCCCTACTCAGGAAACCCAGAACAGGGCTGGAAAAGATTTGCCTGGGAAGTCGACTGCCCTCCTTCTCTCTCCCCCCTCCCCCTGCGTGTGTCCACACACGTGGCCCTCTCCCCCTTCAGGACACACGCAGGCTCCTCGTGTGTCCCAGGCTTCCTCGGGCACAAGAGGTATGTGCACACGTGTCCTAGCCTTGCTGCTCCGGTAGCCTAGGTGCGTGCACACAGACGTCCGAGTGGGACAAGCCTTTATAATGGCGCTCCCGCCCCATCCACATAGTGGCCGGTGCCAGTCTCCTTAGGGGGTGCCCTAGGTGGGTCGCGACTTCTTCAGGATAGCTGGTGCGTCCCTGCCACTTCGGAGCCTAGTTCTAGACAGTCCCAATCCTAGGGGGGAGGGGAGGGGGAGGGGAGGGGGAGGGGCCGTCTCCGCC